TACTACTACTACTACTACTCCATGACAATACTACGACGACTGGCTAGGTCTGTTCTTTTGCTCCTTGTTTTGAATTATTTGTCCTTAAGGTCCGCGTCGGCTGGTGGCTGGGATATCCTTGGAAGCAAGGGAACGTGGATGGACACCCAGCAATGCAACCACAGTCGACCGATCCCGGATGGCCGGGAGTTGTTCGAACAGGCCGTGGGACGATAAATAAGTCAGGATAGCACCAGATACAGTACTGCAATAACTAGTTCGGCCACGAATCCACCAGTGCTGCATGTACGTGGCACTATCTAATTAACGGGTACTAGCTGCTTCCCGACGACGACCTTCTTGCAAGCTGAGGTCTGTGCTGCAGGTGGCACCGAGCGGCCCTTTACCGGTGTGCACAACCGCAAGGTTGCCCGCGACGCAGATGGCGTTTATCGCTGCGCTTGCTGCGGTGCGCCTCTGTTTACTCCAATGGAAAAATACGACTCTGGAACTGGCTGGCCGAGCTTTGATGCGCCCGTCGCAGATGCTATCGGATACAGAAAAGACCTCTTGCAGTTTGGGAGCACGGAGGTTCATTGTAGTCAGTGTGGAGCACACTTGGGGCATGTGTTTGATGACGGCCCACCGAGCACGGGACTCCGGTATTGCATCAACAGCGTCTGCTTGTGGTTTGATGAGACCTCCTCCGCCGTCGCCACCACGACCTTGCCCTTTGTTCTGAACAGTTATCTTGTATTGCTCCTGCTTGTAGGGTGTTGCGGGAGCTGCTGTGTGCTGTCCAAACACGCTGTTATCGCCGGCCAGCCTGTCTACAACAAGTGGCGTCAGAAGAAACCTGCCGAGACGACAGTGAGTGCCTGGCCAGCTGAACAAACATTCTGATCGCGTGGCACAGTAGAGTCTTAGTAGAGTTCAGCGGTTCGCTGATTCTAGCTTCGCCGAAATTATTTTGATGCTTTTTTCGCAAGTCGCAGCTGTCTGATTCGACAGCCTGTACAGTTGATCTACTTGTTGTGTGGGAGTGGCCAGCCGTGTGCAGACCCGGCTGGGTGTCTGAAGGACAATTTTCTTGCCCGGCTTGTCATGGCTTGTCCCACTTTGCCGCAAAGTGTACAGATCGTACTTTATGTAAGACTCGAGAGCGGACAACTTGCACAAACTTTGGGCGAGTCTGCTGAGCTTCCCTGTTTGATGCTTCGGAAGGCACAGCTGACTGCAAAGCAGGCCAGGGGGAGAGACAAGCCATTTCTTAATGCACATACTCGGCAGAAGTTTCTTATTGTTGTGATGCTGTGCCACGGTCTTTGTCGTGTGTCGCTTCAGGTAAAATATTCCCATCTGACTGACGATCAGAAGGAGAAGCACCGGCCCCAGCTGCGGTAGTGAGATCCACGGGCACATTGCACAAACTGGCCAGCAAAAAAGGAGACCTGACAGCATTTCAGGTTCTTACATGTGCCAAACCAGGATCAAACGCAAAGCAGAGCTGGAGCAGACTGTGACCGAGCTGGAACGCTTGGCCGAGGCTTCCGCAGGAGTATGGCAGAGAAAACGTGGTATCCCGAGCCTTGCCAGGATCTCGAGCAGGAGGCCCAGAAGCAGGAGGAACAGGAGCAGGACCGGGAGCCTCCTGCTGAAAGACCTCGCCCCAGAGCTTGCGGTTGAGAACAATGCCGAAGCCATGTGGGAGTTTCAAATTGGGGGTCCTTGTAATAGGGAACCTATTATTTAGGGTACTATATTAGGGTCCCCTTATTTTCGGAAACCCCCAAGTGGCAACTTTGAGGGGATTGCAACATAGGGGACATCGTAAGCCGCCACGTGGACGGACCATTGCCACCTGAATGGAGCGAAAGCAGAAGGAAGTGTAACAGATGCAAATTCCAAGGGTGAGCAAGCTTCAAGGATCGGAAAATTCAGCTGGAAGCTATCTACAAGACCAGACTTGTATCATGTATCTTTTAGACAATCGGGGTGAAGTGATCTTGGCAGCTCAACATCAACATGCTCGACTGGCTGTCAGCCTCAGGGCTCTGAGAAAACAGAGAGGTCCATCTCGGCATCTGATAATATCTGATGCGAGTCGCAGCCTTTTTTTGCAGACTGTGCAGAAATTATGTGACAGTGCGGCAGGAGCCCGTGGTGGAAGAGGCCCCTGTCCAGGCTGGTAGTTCGAGCCAACCCTAGGCAAGATGCGACACTCACGCATGGTAGATCAAGTTCCGACAAGCCAACAAATCTCCATGAAATTGACAGTGCGGTTTGACGCAGATGTCAACCCTATCAGTCACATGTCAGGTTGAAGAGGAGGTGGCACCTGCGGTGGAGGTGGTTGACTTGAGATGTCGTGCGAGCATCGGTGTAGATGCACAGACTCGATCGGGAGCTCACACTTGGTGCTTGACGTGTTTCATGTATCTTGATGTTGTGTCTACTAGCTCGCAGGCAGAAGAGGAAAAAGAAATCGAAGCCGGCCAAGCTCTGAGAATGACTGAGAGAGGAACCCTAAACCCTAAACCCTAAACCGTCCGAGTGTGAGAGCCGAAACCCTAAACCCTGAATGACGGAGAGAGGAGGGTTGCTGGTTGAATGTCTTCAGCTGTCCGTGCAACGCGTAGCGCTTGTATGGAATTCAGGAGAGGCAGAGGAGGTCCAAGAAGAGGAGGACCCTAAGCCCTAAACCGTGTTTAGGGTTTTGGGGGTTTAGGGATTAGGGGGTTTAGGGTTCAGGGTCTAGGGTTTAGGGGCGCCGAGATGTTTGCGACGCCCTTCGCCACGAGTCCCTCCAACTGTCCCGCAGGACCCGGAGGTCGCAGCTGCGCGTGGGGATCCCAGAACTTAAAAATTAGGGGTACCTTATTTTGGGGCCCTTATAATAAGGATCCGACTATTTGGGGTGCTATATTAGGGTGCCCTATTTTTGAAAACCCCCACAAGCCTCCAGAGTCCTCACAACGCCCGACAATCAGGATCTCAATTTCTTGAAAGCTGAATATGAGAGAACCCGAACCTATTCTTGTGTTCTCTTTGCTTGTTCGGGGGGGTTTACAACAGGCAGATATGATGAAGACTATCCGAGAATCTTTCCAGGCGCTGCCGAGGAGGCAGCCGCCGCTGCGGCTGCTGCTGCCGCTGCCCTCGAGGCAGAGAAGCAGGCGACTGGCAAGGATGGGCCATCCTTGGGGGCTCCAACACCGTAAAATAGAGTGTTTGGGATAGGCTAGAGTTGGAGTAAACAATGCGTAGGGACTACGATGCCGCAGCTTTTCTCGAATAAACTGTCTACTAGAGGAGAGAATCCACAACTCATGAGAACATGAAGGCTATGGTCTGTCAAGTAAAGTATATAGACAGGGGAACAGCCTTAGAGTTGACTATACAAGGCTGGTATCGCTCCTCCTGGCAGGCCCTTGAAGAGAAGAAGCAGGTCACGAAGCTTCATGTGTATAGTCTCAGGATGCAGAGATATCAAGAGCACGAGACAGGTCTTGCCTTGCTGTAGCAGTAGGTGGCATTGCACTGTGAGGCCTGCCAGAAGCAGAAGAAAAACACCCTCAAGAAGATCAAGGAAATTGATGCAATCGAGGCTGTGATGCTTCCTTAGCATTAGAGCTGACGCCGGAAACCGGAAGCCAGCGGTGTCCTGCAAGGCGAAGATGGCAGAGAAAGGTCAAACCTTTGCCGAGCTGCTTCCGGAAGTGAAAGAAAAGGCTACGCGAACGCGGGTTTGTCTTCAACCCATGCAATCTGGTCCTGGCAAGAATCATGGAAGGTGGGCAGAAAATCCGAGCTCTTGGCTACGGTGCCTGGCTAATCTGGTTACTATGTGCGGGATACGCCCAGCCAATGTCCTAAAACTCTCCGCAGGTGGAAGAAATGGATCGGACCGTCCAGGAGGCAATCCAGTGCATGGGCGTTGAGAAAAGAGCCCTCATGCAGAGCCTGGACAGTAAGATCCTTCTTTTGCAGACGCCAGTGCCTGGCATGTCAGATCGACGCCAAGCTGCAGAACCATGGGCAACCAGATTGCAAGATCGAGGCAGAGGCCGTCATCGAAGCATGTTGTTACACGCGGGAAGCTTTGGAAGCTTGATATTCCTTCCCTTGAGCTCCACTTTCACCCCCACCCACCCCCACCCACCATCACCCACCCACCCCACCCACCCACCCACCCACCCACCCACCCGCCCGCCCGCCCGCC